GCCCATATATATATATATATATATATATATATATATATATATATATATATATATATATATATATATATATATATATATATATATATATATATATATATATATATATATATAAGTTAAGGATACTGGTGGCAGCAAAGAGAGAATATAATCAAGTTTGACAGTGTTAAGGAGGGACTGTTGTTATTGTTTTGTAAGTCCAAGACAATAAAGTTAATAATTATGACCTGGGAGGCAGAGAAACTGGTGGAACTTTTGTGTATTTTTTAAGTTCTCATTATTATTATTATTATTATTATTAAAGCAAAAGTTTTAAGGTATTATTCTCACGAGGCTGTAACACACAACTATTAAACCAACTGCCATAAACCAGCTGTCATAAACCAGTTTCCATAAACAAACTGCCATAAACCAGTTGCCATAAACCAGCTGCCAAGAACCATCTGCCATAAACCAGCTGCCATAACCCAATTGCCAAAAACCAGCAGTCATAGACTTTAATTACTCTTATTAATAAAAACCTTGTTTTCTCTTAGTAGTTTTAAGAATCTCTTGTTGCACTTTAATTAAAACCCAGGTTTTATCTACATTAAAACCTAGTTTACCCTGGGAAAACAGAGAATCATAGGGTAAACTATAGTAAACTCTCGGTCTTACCCTAAATTATCCCGTTTTCTCTTACAATTGTTAGAATCTTGGTTAAATATAGTAAATCCCAGTTTTTTTCCCATCTCGTTTTCTCTTCAGAAGTGAGAATCTCAGGGTAAACTAATAAAGCAGCAACTTTGCCCAACATCAAAGTCTATCCTATTAATTCAGAATTCTGTAAATTGCAAGACATATTTTGAGTATAAAGGAAGTAAGCTAGGGTATACTAACTTTAAGCTACTAGAGGAATTAGTACAAGGTATGTGATAACAGCTATTAGATGAGTGAAATTGACTCTTAATCAGTTGAAATATGCAAACATATTTTTGAACACTATAGCTGTAGAATATATAATATATAAATAATATATAAGTATAGAATGAATAATATATATGATAGAGTATATATATTATATAATATAGACTGTATATAGATCATAAATTATAAATATATATATATATAAGATAAGGTATAGTAAATATAAGGTTATAATAATATATATATATATTATATATGTATCATAAAGTGTATGAAAAAATTCTTGAGATGCACTACGAGCATAGTTAAGTTTAGATCAAATGTTAGAGTCGAATCAGACAAAGTTGTATGGGACACGACATTGAGGGTGTGAGGAAGGCAGCTAGAGCGGTGTTGAGGAAGGCAGCGTAGAGCGGTGTTGAGGAAGGCAGCGTAGAGCGGTGTTGAGGAAGGCAGCGTAGAGCGGTGTTGAGGAAGGCAGCTAGAGCGGGTGAGGAAGGCAGCCTAGAGCGGTGTTGAGGAAGGCAGCATAGAGCGGTGTTGAGGAAGGCAGCATAGAGCGGTGTTGAGGAAGGCAGCATAGAGCGGTGTTGAGGAAGGCAGCATAGAGCGGGTGAGGAAGGCAGCGTAGAGCGGTGTTGAGGAAGGCAGCGTAGAGCGGTGTTGAGGAAGGCAGCGTAGAGCGGTGTTGAGGAAGGCAGCATAGAGCGGTGTTGAGGAAGGCAGCGTAGAGCGGGGTGAGGAAGGCAGCGTAGAGCGGTGTTGAGGAAGGCAGCGTAGAGCGGTGTTGAGGAAGGCAGCGTAGAGCGGGTTGAGGAAGGCAGCGTAGAGCGGTGTGAGGAAGGCAGCAGTAGAGCGGGGGTGAGGAAGGCAGCAGTAGAGCGGGGTTGAGGAAGGCAGCGTAGAGCGGGTTGAGGAAGGCAGCGTAGAGCGGTGTGAGGAAGGCAGCGAGAGCGGGTGAGGAAGGCAGCAAGCGTGTTGAGGAAGCGCTAGAGCGGTGAGGAAGGCAGCGTAGAGCGGGGTGAGGAAGGCAGCGTAGAGCGGGGTGAGGAAGGCAGCGTAGAGCGGGTTGAGGAAGGCAGCTAGAAGGTGTTGAAGAAGGCAGCGTAGAGCGGGGGTGAGGAAGGCAGCTAGAGCGGTGTTGAGGAAGGCAGCGTAGATGGTGTTGAGGAAGGCAGCGTAGAGCGGTGGTGAGGAAGGGCAGCGGTAGGAGCACGGGGGTGTTGAGGAAGGCAGCGTAGAGCGGTGGTGAGGAAGGCAGCGTAGAACGGTGTTGAGGAAGGCAGGTAGAGCGGGGGTGAGGAACAGTGAGAAGGCAGCGTAGAGCGATGTTGAGGAAGGCAGCGTAGAGCGGTGTTGAGGAAGGCAGCGTAGAGCGGTGTTGAGGAGGCAGCGTAAGAGCGAGGTTTGAGGAAAGGCACGTAAGCGGTGTTGAGGAAGGCAGCCGAGAGCGGTAGTTGAGGAAGGCAGCGTAGAGCGGTGTTGAGGCAAGGCAGCGTAGAGCGGTGTTGGGGCAAGGCAGCGTAGAGGCGATAGTTGAGGAAGTCAAGCAGTACAGAGCGGTGTTGAGGAAGGCAGCGTAGAGCGTGTTGAGGAAAGCAGCGTAGAGCGGTGTGAGAAAGGCAGCGTAGACGGGTTGAGGAAGGCCAGCGTAGAGATTGTTGAGAAGGCCAGGTAAGAGCGGTGTGAAGGCCCAAGCCGAGAGCGGTGTTAAATGAAGGAAAGGTAAGACGGTGTTGAGGAAGGCAGCGAAAGCGGTGTTGAGGAAGGCAGCGTAGAGCGGTGTGAGCAAGGCAGCGAGTGATGTGTTGAGGAAGGCAGCATGGCCACAGAGCTATACTGTACACACGCTGAGCAAGACGGCAAGCTGAGAGAGTTTTAACTGAGGTTAAATATCACTAAGATCTGAGCTTGATTGAGCTCAAACCTTAGTGACACTGAGCCATAGCCCAAGACATAGTGACACTGAGCCATAGTCCAAGACAGTGACACTGAGCCATAGTCCAAGACATAGTGACACTGAGCCATAGTCCAAGACATAGTGACACTGAGCCATAGTCCAAGACATAGTGACACTGAGCCATAGTCCAAGACATAGTGACACTGAGCCATAGTCCAAGATCATAGTGACACTGAGCCATAGTCCAAGACATAGTGACATTTGAGCCATAGTCCAAGACATAGTGACACTGAGCCATAGTCCAAGACATAGTGACACTGAGCCATAGTCAAGACATAGTGACACTGAGCCATAGTCCAAGACATAGTGACACTGAGCCATAGTCCAAGACATAGTGACACTGAGCCATAGTCCAAGACATAGTGACACTGAGCCATAGTCCAAGACATAGTGACACTGAGCCATAGTCCAAGATATAGTGACATTGAGCCATAGTCCAAGACATAGTGACATTGAGCCATAGTCCAAGACATAGTGACACTGAGCCATAGTCCAAGACATAGTGACACTGAGCCATAGCCCAAAGACATAGTGACAAGTGAGCCATAGTCCAAGACAGTGACACTGAGCCATAGTCCAAGACATAGTGACACTGAGCCATAGTCCAAGATATGGTCCAAGTAAAGGATTATTCGCTATATTGCGTATTTATTCCCAAAACCTTTGAGTGTTCATCAGAGTTCAGTCTTTTAGGAGTTTTAGCGTAAGTTGGCTGAGGCAGAGTTGGGGCGAAACAGAATTATTTTTAATGAACTGAACTTAAAACTTCAAATGCAACAATTCAGTCCCTAACCTCGTTATATAATTACAATTCTATGATTTCTGTACATTTAAAGAAAACTAAACCAAAAAGGTTGGTTTAATGCTACCATGGCTAAGACCCCGGAGAATATATCAAAGATCGTAGCAATGTGATACTACCAAAACAAACCTTTATATTGACCCGAGTATGGGATCGTTAACTTTCCCAGCTCGACTGCAGGTTATATAATTTATCACACGATAATTCTAACTACATTCTGTTAAACAGATCTACCTTGAAGTCCTTATAAACATTGCTAAATTCAAGGCAGTTACGGGAACAGTTAGATATTGTCCAAAAGAGAGGCAGTTTGCACGTCTTATTACTTGTGATCAACACACTGACTGAGGGGTCTAGCAGGTGAACCAGATGAAAGCAATCTGTCCTCCCCAAGCCATTAATTTGCTATATGTATAAGCCAGTTTTATGTTACATGTATAAGCCAGTTTGTGTTACATATATTAGCCAGTTTGTTACATGTATAAGCCAGTTTGTTACTTATATAAGTCATTTTATGTTACAAGTATAAGCCAGTTTTTCTAAACAGGTTGTTTTGATGGATTTGGTTAGTCTTGGCTTGGGCTTGGTTTGGTTATATTTGTTAAATTATAGGTTAAATTAAAGTGAGGTTAAATTAAATTTGTTAAGGTTAGAGAGGTTAATATGAATTAACGAATTAAAACAGAATAAAAATAGCAATAGTCTGGGAAACTACCGAGTCAACTAAGAGTTGCAGGAGACTTCTTATAGTCACATTATTATAATTATTATTACTTGAAAACGAATGATTATATCAGTGTCGTTTAGTGAGTCTTGAAGTGTTATTTAATTACAATAGTGTAGAGGATGGTGTTGTTATGGTGGTACAATCCTATGGGTTCCAGTGTAACACCATAAACCTGCCATCCTTGAGGAGGACAGTTTGCTCACACAACGTCAACAAATACAATTTTCTGAGCATAAAGTGAAACTTGTACATTATAGAAAGTGTTTAGTGCAATACGGATGGAGTGGACGTAGGTGTTGCAACACTTGCACAAAGTGCCAAGCCCGTTTAGGACAAAAATGTGTTCCCATATCACATTGTAGAGAAGGAAGGCTTTTAATACGGCCGCAGGAAACGCGACGGCTTTTCCAGTCTTATTTTAAATCCTCGCCCTTATTCTTTCTCTCCAGTTTCTGACTTAAAACTTAGAGCTGCGTGTTAATTCGTAATATATAGATGCTTAGAGCGGAAGAAATATTTGTAAACACAGATTATATAATGTTATTATATAGAGAAGAGTAATAGAGGCCATTCAATGTCTGCTGACGGAACATTATGATACAACTCTCCTTTAAATATATGTTTTATCTATAGAAGCTTGTATCGCTTATTATTGTTGGCACAGTGCCTTCCACTATGTTGGCACAGTGCCTTCCACTATGTTGGCACAGTGCCTTACACTATGTTGGCACAGTGCCTTCCACTATGTTGGCACAGTGCCTTCCACTATGCTGGCACAGTGCCTTCCACTATGTTGGCACAGTGCCTTCCACTATGTTGGCACAGTGCCTTCCATTATGCTGGCACAGTGCCTTTCATTATGTTGGCACAGCGCCTTCCATTATGATGGCACAGTGCCTTTCATTATGTTGGCACAGTGCCTTCTATTATTTTGGCACAGTGCCTTCCATTATGTTGGCACAGTGTCTTTCATTATGTTGACACAGTGCCTTTCATTATGGTGGCACAGTGCCTTCCATTATGTTAGCACAGTGCCTTCCATTATGTTGGCACAGTGTCTTCCATTATGGTGGCACAGTGCCTTCTATTATGGTGGCCCAGTGATCTCCAAACAATGCTAAATCTTTCATTTGTTCACTCTAATTCCCTCAGTAAGATATACATTTTTTTCCCCAGAGGAGGCAGTCAGACCAAGCAACACTGCTTCAGCAGAAAGAGGTCGTCCAACATGGTATAAATATTGTATTAAAAAGAAAGAAGAAGCAATAAAACCGTGTGGATCCACCAGCAGAAGGAGTGGTTGACGCTCATTAATCCATCCACTAAAGCTGTGTGCTCCAGCTTCTCGGAACTCCATAAAGCCCACTGAGTGAGCTTCACCAAGATAAAACTTCACCTCTTTCTTGATATCCTCATTATAATTCTACTTAAAGTCGAGATTCTGTCCGAAATTTTGACACAGCTCCAATAACAGCCACGTTTGTATAAACCAGATGTATGACTGCCTGAAAGTACGTCGACACTTGTATACGTGGCTACTACCCAAAAAAGTTCAAACAGAAAATGCTATAGTTTCCCAGAGATAATTATTATTGTTGATGGTTGTAGTGGTGAGTGAGGCTCGTTGAACTGCAAAGTTCTTTCTGTGGAGAGGGTCGTTGAACTGCAAGGTTCCTTCAGTGGAGAGGGACGCTGAACTGCAAGGTTCTTTCAGTGGAGAGGGTCATTGAATTGCAAGGTTCCTTCAGTGGTGAGGGTCGTTGAACTGCAATGTTCCTTCAGTGGTGAATAACGTTCGTTGAACTGCAGGGTTCCTTCAACAATATAGGGTATTTTTAACTCTAGGGTCATCTACATGTGAGGTTATTTAAACTTGAAGGTTTTTCTAGATGGTCACCGTACAGTGGAAGGTTGTAACTTTGATTAAATCAGTGGTGTAGAGCACAGGGATGTGACGGACTTACATGATCACGCAGAAGGGAGTTTTAGGAGCTGATTCCTAGAAAGAGAGAAAATACAATTAACAGAATGGAATTCTAACATCACCTACCTAGAGTTCAGTTATTTACTATCCACTGTTTTCAAAAGGTATCATACAAAAGGGGTCATACAAATACTGTAATATACTTTATTATAATGCTGAGGGGAAGTATTAAGTTGGTTAAGGTTATACAGTGCCTGGAGAATGTTATGTGATAAGGTTTGATCCAATGAAGGAAAAAACAGGCTCCAACTCTTGGATCAAGAACCCTTTGCCGATATTAAGGGATTTAATTTAAGGAAACTTTAATCTATGAGACACAAATAAAGTTGTCTTGGACGAAACAAAAGAAACACAAAGATAATGTCAGTGTCTTAAGTGCTGACAGCACTGTGTTGCTGACAGTGAGGCTTGATAGTGCTTGAGTGTAGTGCTGACAGTACTGTTGCTGACAGTGAGGCTTGATAGTGCTTGAGTGTAGTGCTGACAGTACTGTGTTGCTGACAGTGAGGCTTGATAGTGCTTGAGTGAACTGCTGACAGTACTGTGTTGCTGACAGTGAGACTTGATAGTGCTTGAGTGTAGTGCTGACAGCACTGTGTTGCTGACAGTGGTTGGAAGTGTGAGAAAAGAGAGCATAAAAATAAAGGAGCATTGAAATAAGCCTTATAGCCTGTGATAGACAAATCATATTCACACAAGAATAGAAGTAGGCCTACTGGCCCATGCTAAGCAGGTTGTACTGACGCTATGTTAGGAAGGTGGTACTCATAAAAGATTAAAGGTATATAGTAGTAGACTTTTCTTCTGTTTGGTGACCAGCAGAGCAGCTAGCTATGGCAGTGTGTCTAGCTATGGCAGAGTGGCTAGCTATGGCAGAGCAGCTAGTTATGGCAGAGCAGCTAGCTATGGCAGAGTGGCTAGCTATGGCAGAGTGGCTAGCTATGGCAGAGTGGCTAGCTATGGCAGAGCAGCTAACTATGGCAGAGCAGCTAATGGCAGAGTAGTTAGTACCATTTCCTAGGATCAATTATTTTTGAAAGACCTATATTTCGGTAGATGAAATTTTAATTTAATTTTCCAAGAGTTTGTCCTACTTCATTTCCTCAGATCAAGACTTTCCCCAATTTACATTACATATTTCGTCAGGTATGGTCATTGTTATGACCATACCTAATCATACCTGACCATACCTAACCATACCTGACCATACATGACCATACCTGACCATACATGACCATACCTGACCATACATACAGATCATAAGCAACTGCTTCAATGAACCTCCAGTCTGACCTACCCCCAGGACCTTCTCACCGGCCTGACCTCAAATAACAATCTCACGATGGTTCCTCTAATACACTGCATTCTGATCATCTAGGTCATTGGTGTCAGTCTGACCCAGCTCGTGTCAGTCATTGTTGTCAGTCTGACCCAGCTCGTGTCAGTCATTGTTGTCAGTCTGACCCAGCTTGTGTCAGTCATTGTTGTCAGTCTGACCCAGCTTGTGTCAATCATTGTTGTCAGTCTGACCCAGCTCGTGTCAGTCATTGTTGTCAGTCTGACCCAGCTCGTGTCAGTCATTGTTGTCAGTCTGACCCAGCTCGTGTCAGTCATTGTTGTCAGTCTGACCCAGCTCGTGTCAGTCATTGGTGTCAGTCTGACCCAGCTTGTGTCAGTCATTGTTGTCAGTCTGACCCAGCTCGTGTCAGTCATTGGTGTCAGTCTGACCCAGCTCATGTCAATACATTACAATACCTGGCCTCCTGCCATCAATAACAATAAAGAGGAAGGTATCCCAGCATTATGACCATACCTGCATACCTGGGCTACACTTATCACCCCAACGTTAAAACTTCATTACAGGTACCTCTTGGAAATACCTCGACTAATCCTCACACACAAACACAAACATGCTCACACACACACACACACACACACACACACACACACACACACACACACACACACACACACACACACACACACACACACACAGGCCCACACTGGAGTATGCAGCACCTGTTTGGAACCCGCACTTGATAAAGCACGTCAAGAAACTCGAGAAAGTGCAAAGGTTTGCGACAAGGTTAGTTCCAGAGCTAAGGGAAATGTCTTATGAAGAAAGGTTAAGGGAAATCTGCCTGACGACACTAGAGGACAGGAGGGTCAGGGGAGACATGATAACGACATATAAAATACTGCACGGAATAGACAAGGTGGACAAAGACAGGATGTTCCAGGGAGGGGACACAGAAACAAGAGGTCACAATTGGAAGTTGAAGACACAGATGAGTCAGAGAGATATTAGGAAGTATTTCTTCAGTCACAGAGTTGTCAGGCAGTGGAATAGCCTAGAAAGCGATGTAGTGGAGGCAGGAACCATACATAGTTTTAAGACGAGGTATGATAAAGCTCATGGAGCGGGGAGAGAGAGGACCTAGTAGCAACCGGTGAAGAGGAGGGGCCAGGAGCTAGGACTCGACCCCTGCAACCACAAGCAGGTGAGTACAAAGTCATGGAGAAGATTATCAGGAGGAGAGTGGTCGAACACCTGGAAAGGAACAAGATTATAAATGAAAACTAGCATGGGTTCATGGAAGGCAAATCTTGTATCACAAACCTACTGGAGATTTATGACAATGTAACAGAAGTAAGACACGAGAGAGAGGGGTGGGTAGATTGCGTTTTCCTAGACTGCAGGAAGGCCTTTGACACAGTTCCCCACAAGAGATTAGTGACAGAGACAAACTGGAGTTCTAAAGTATGTACCTCGATCGAGACAGAACACAAGAGGAAAGGATGATACTGAAAGAGAGAGTACAAAAACGAAAGGAGGAATGGGAGGAAATGACAAGAAGAGCAGAATAACCCAGACACAGGTAGAAGAGCACACCCTCCCCCAGAAACACCCACAGAAGGACTCCATCCACGACAACCCCAAGAAAAATAATGATCTAAACCAACAGTCACACAGTGATCCCTCTTTCCTGCACCCCCAAAACACAAACCCCACCCCTATAGCAACCCCCTATGGGAACTCTGCCCCCACGCCCACCGGAACCTCCCATAGGCCCCTGCCAGGGCTTCTGCTCTCCTAACCCCAATATTCTCCCAGGACCACAGTTTTAGAAAAGAAGTTGAAGGTTTGGTATATGAATGCAGATGGAATAACGAATAAATATGAGGAGTGGCATTAAAGAATCAATGAGAAGTCCCCAGACATCATAGCAGTCACAGAAAGGAAACTCACTGAGACAATAACAGATGCAATCTTCCCACCAAGATATCAGATCCTGAGGAAAGATAGAAGGAGCAGAGAGGGAGGAGGGAAAGCACTGCTCTTAAGAAAACGATGGAAATTTGAGGAAATGTGAGGCATGGACGAGATTGGAGAAAGGAACTACATAGTAGGCACACTTCAGTCTGGGGAACATAAAGTAGTCATTGCAGTGATGCATAATCCACCACAGAACTGCAGGAGGCCAAGAGAGGAATATGAAGAGAGCAACAGAGCAATGGTGGACACACTGGCTGAGGTGGCAAGAAGAGCTCACTCGAGCAGAGCAAAGTTACTGGTTATGGGGGATTTCAGCCACAGGGAGATCAATTGGGAAAACCTGGAGCCACACAGGGGTCCCGAAACATGGAGAGCCAAGATGATGGATGTAGTACTGGAAAACCTCCTGCATCAACATGTTAAGGACACTACCAGAGCGAGTGGGGAGAATGAACCAGCAAGCCTGGACCTTGTGTTCACCCTGAGCAGTTCAGACATTGAGGACAAAACATATGAGAGGCCCCTAGGAGCTAGTGATCACATGGTTCTGTGCTTTGAATACATTGTAGAGTTACAAGTGGAGAGGGTAAAAGGTATTGAATGGGAAAAGCCAGACTATAAGAGGGGGGATTACACAGGTTTGAGGAACTTCCTGCAGGAGGTTCAGTGGGACAGAGAATTGGTAGGAAAGTCAGTAAACGACATGATGGAATACATAACAACAAAATGCAAGGAGGTAGAGGGAAGGTTTGTTCCCAAGAGCAACAGAAATAATGGGAAGACCAGAACGAGCCCCTGGTTTACCCGAAGGTGCAGGGAAGCAAAAACTAAGTGCACTAGAGAATGGAAAAAGCAAAGAAGGCAAAGAACACAGGATAATAGGGAGATTAGTCGAAGAGCCAGAAACGAGTATGCACAGGTAAGGAGGGAGGCGCAGCAACAGTATGAAAACAACATAGCATCGAAAGTCAAGTCTGACCCGAAACTGCTGTATAGCCACATTGTTGCAACCCCTGAATGGGTTACAATGATTATTATGTATATATATATAATGTATATTACCTTTTCATATAATTTTATATTGCTTATATTTGCGATAATAGCTAAATCGTAAATGTATTGCTTTATATTGTTATTTGATGTAGTTTCCTTTGTTAGGTAGGATGTAACTTATTATGTGCTCAGTTCAAGTCTTGATTGTCTAACTACTGTAATTATCGCTTGTGGCTCGTTAGACTGCCGGCTTCTGAGCTGCAGTTGTCCACGGAGCTATCACGTGATCGAGGGGGGGTGTCCTCACCTCGCTTGAAGTATTCAGTCTGCTCTAGACTCGCTTGGTGGTTGGACAGATTGTCTGTCTCATTATTCTTGTTAGTTCTGTAGAACTCTGTTCACAGAACATTGTATAGACTTAGTGATTTTTGACGTTGTACTGAGGTTGTGTGTCTCATAGACACTCTGAGTATCTCAGGTCCTTAGCTATAGCTTATGACCTAATTTGTACTGGTATCTGTGTATAATCACAGTCAGGGTTTTTCCTATGCTGAACTTAGATTCAGTAGTATGGGAGTTTTGTAACTTTTGTGGAGGATCTGCTGATGGTCCCTGCTTAGTGTCGTTATATTATCTCCTTGATCCTGATTGTGTCGCAGTCGCTTGTTATATGGCTATTGGGCTTAGCATTCTTTTCATTGTTCAAGCAGACTGTTCTGGTTGCCAGTCGGTCAAGAAGTTAGTT